TACAGAAGGAGAACTTTTTTAGGAGTGCAGAGAGACACAAGTGGTGCAGGAGGCTTAGATCACAGCAGATTCTGTAGTGGAGAGAGGAAAGTGGCACTGCTACAGTTTGCTCTCTGTTATGGCAACAAGACATCCTTTCAACCCTATCTCTGGCTGTCTACTAAGTGAAGTTATACTGACTATTTTAATTAAATTGTTTTATTACATAAATAAGAGTTCCAGAATGAAAATGCAGAAAACCATCTGGAAAGTTATAGTAGGTATGAGATCTGAACCAGAATTTTTTATCCAATTATTTTCTACATCTTTTTCTGTGTCATGTAACATTTCTGTGATCTTCACTTGTGCCTAAAGTGGAAATGCATGAAGTGCAGATAAAGCTTCAGAGAGTGACAGAAAGACATGATCTTGCTGGAAACAGATTTGAATTATAATTGGATTTTGATCAGTAAATGTTTAAGACAAGAAGTATGCAATGACACAGAATTGTGTTAACAATTTAACTAGAGCTTACCAGTAGGACTGAAAAAAGTAGCATAAAAATTGCACTTCTATTTCTGAACTAATCAATATCTCAGAAAAAAATATTAATCACATTGTACAGTCATTGGAATATAAAAACAGCAAAAAAGATCTATCTTTGTCTGTAAGACAGAATTATCAGGAGGTGTTCTCAAGCCAAACATTACTTGGAAATAACTACCCAAACTATCAGGACATGTCAGCATGCAGGTTCTCTTATTTCACCACACTTGTTGCTCACATTATCTTAGCCTGTGCTATGGCATACGTGCAATAATTGCATCCCAGCTGCACTGCATATACTACCTCTTAAGACTGTAAAACAGCAATTCTGATTGAAAATATACATTGTCTGGACAAACATTTTGCTTTACAACATAGTTTCCAAGCTCTTTCTGTAGAACAGATCTTTGCAAGTGGGTTTGCAAGCCGGAGAACAGAGTGATCTCTTCCCATACAGTTGAGAAGGAAGTGTAGAGTAGTTTTTGTTTCCTTTGCTTGAAGAATAACTGTGAGAATCTGGAGATGTGGTAACATCTCAACAATATGAATAACCACAGCCAGTAAATCAATCAGCACAGCCATTTTATCCTTCATTGACATATTCTACTTCTAAACACAGTGTGTTTAGTTAGGGTCACAAAAACACAGGTAATGAAGAAACTCTCGTGCCCTAAAGCATGTGTTCTTTCAAGTACTGAGGGCTGCTCTGATTATGCCTGAAATACTGAGTGGAGTGTACCGAGTGATTCTATTTCAGCATGAATGCCTGCTCCAAATAACTAGTTGGCTTGCGTGAAAAAGAACAAGTAGAGGAATGTTTTGCACATTTTGTGACATATCCCTTCTCTCTCTAGATGAGAGGTTGCCATGATACAGATGAGACTCCTTGGATAATTGTATACTCATTCTTCTTTCTAACTTTTTTTTTTTTTTAATCATCTGGGGAGCACTGATCTATTAGAACTATAATGTTTAATTGACAGTTTGTTTTGTTTTATAACAAAGTAAATAAATGTACATGGAAACCCTGTTAAGTATAAGCCTAGAATTTCTCTCCTACTCTTGGAAGAGTTCTAGCTGTTGTCAGTGGCATTTTTGAGTAAGACAAATATCTGAGCCCAGTATACTGTCCTACGTCATAGATGGGGAGACCTACACCTTTCCATAGATTCCTATCACCATTGCAATTACCCCTAGCCTCCCCCCCTCCAGATTTTATGCATCGCTTGTATACTGGGATTCTCTTTCAGGGGAGCAGCCTCCTCCTATACTTGGGCATCTACCTTAGAAACTCATTCAAAAGGAGCATAATCCTAGATTGACTGACTTCTGTTTTAGACTTTTCAATTTATCCTTTCCATTTTGCAAAAGAAAATAGCTCTCCCTTCAGTTATTTAATTAATTTTCTGTATTCAACAGACCAGCATTTTACTATTTGGATCTCAATTTGTACTACTGGAGAGCTAGATCATCTGTGAGCAAATCAATCATAACCAACAGTTCTGCTGGTGAATAGCCTGCAGCAGTAATGTGGCTATGTTATTTTTGTGAATGGTATTTGGGTATGAAAATCTTACATTCATTGAATATTTTTATGTGTCTTGATCTTACCAACCCCAGCAGCTTTTTAGAAACCACTTATAATTTGCAGTGAATACCTTCTATCAAAACCAGCAAGTAAATGTTTAACATAAAATATTTCCAAGCAACTATGATAAAACTTGTGTTCTATACCTTCTATTCTTTACTGGAATCACTGTTTCTGCCAGCCCTTGAACTTTCTTAAGTCAGAAGCTGAAACCTAGCAAGGTAGGTAATTATCTCCTATCAATTTCCACTTGCTCCCTTCCACTAAAACCGTCACTTTTATGCAGAAGGATTATAGAATATAATGCATCTGGAGAATGCCACAAGAAAGATCTGCCGCAGCTCATTTCCCAAGGCTGTAAACGATCACTCTGAGAAGGGTTTTTTAAAGGTACCTGAACATGGAAAAGCATTTAGGCATATCTAAACATAAGGATGGCTACACATTCCTGATTCTTGAACAAATAATTGTAAAGATTTTGTGTCTGCCAGTGTCTTACCGCCTTGAAGCCTACAGTGTTTTAATCTACTTGAAGGCCATATAAGCAGAAAAAAAAAAAAATTATAGCCTTCATAGAACAGGCATTTTAGCCTGTCCTCTACCGGATACAGAAGTCATCCACAACTTTCAGGCACCTAGCTGACAGAGCTCAGGCAGAGAGCAGCTGGTTGGAAGTGATGCATTAGGAGAGCTAGTAACACTATGACATCTCTGTGTCAGTCGGTCACCTTCCATTCCCTGGATTCCTTCTCTTCTTTCTCCAGCGTACAATCAATGAATATACAGATGATATAGCATATACAGGAGTTTGGCTGGTGTAATATTTATACTTGAGAATGAGAGAAGGATGCTCACCCTATCCTTGGCTCACATGAGAAACTCCAGTAGGGTTTCGATTGGCAGTCAGCTCTTAAATGGGTCCAGGAGAGGTGGAGCCAGGCTCCACACCTTCCTGCAGCACAGGTGAATTGCCTTCACCTGTGCTTCCATGGCTGATTCATTCCTTGCTTGAGATCAGAGGTTCAGGCCGTGATTCACCAGCCCCATGCACTCCAGTCAGATGGTCCTTGAGCTATCAGAAGCAAATATGAAGAGGGACAAAAAAGAAGTAAGAGGAGGATTAGCCCTTGAGATAACATTAACAAAAGCTGTCAAGGAAACGTAGACTAAGAGGTCAATAAGACGAGGCTGTAAATGTGAGTAATCTCAGATGGCCTGTTTGTTTCCAATCACCATTTGTGATGCCCAGACTAACAGTTGTTATCCACATCTACACATATTTTAAACCTCATGTATTCTATTACCAATCCATGCAAGTCATCATTTTGATCCCAACATGTTGCTGTCACAGACCATATTCTCTGATACATCACTGCACCCACTAGCCCTGCTCAGCTGAGCCCTAGGACCTGGGCTTACCAAAACACCTGCACCTACCAAGTCCCTCATAAGACCCGGGCTTTAATTTCTCCTTAATTTTCCACAGAAGAGCATAGCAAGTATCTCCAAATCTTCCCAAAGTGGGGAATGAGGAGGAGTTCAGTCTCCACTGACCAGGTGTGTTATTCTGCAGTCAGTTCTGAACACCAAGCTGTAGTACAGGTGTTTACTTCTAATTATGTCTGTTAATTAGAAATATCTTACTCAGAAATGCATGTTATGTAGAACAGAATGGCAAATACCACCATCTTCTGATTCAGAATAAGATTCAAAGTTCTTCTAAGGTGCCATGCCCCTTTCATCTCTCTATTAATAATTACTTGGCTTCCAATAGTGTCTCATATTTCTAATTCCAAAGGAACTAAAGAACTTGCAGACTCTATTTTCACTGTCCAATAAGTAAGGCTCTAGTAATACATAAAGGATAAAACCTCAGGGCAGTAAGCCATGAGAGATCTGTGCAGAGCTGACATGGATAAAAACTGTGTGCATGGAACAAGGCCAATAAATACAAGAACTTTCAATGTTTGACTTCTAAATGTTTCTACTGGCTTTTTGTGGATAGGTTTAATGCTATTATCCATACCCTTAACAGAATATTCAATAAAGTGTATCTTATAACACACTCTATTGAATAGTGTGTACTGACAGCTAGGGACTACTGCTCCAACCCTTCCACTGAAATGAACCAATTGAACCAATGTCATTTTTCTCCAACTGAAGCCTTTCCACCTCATTTTTATCTCAGTGACAGCTCTACTCCAGTAACCACCATTTGCACTGACAACAATCTCATTCCACCACATGCTCCACTAGTCAACAATAGCCACTTTTATTAATATAAAGTAGTTTCTGGGAATTTTGTTCACAATTTCACAAAAAAAAAAATGTAGCTGTATCAGATGAAATGTACCTTCCTCCAAATTGCTTCAAACTTGTCATCTTCTTTTCAGTTGTAAGTTAAGGATCTGAAAATTAGAGCCACAGACTCTCTTCAAAATGTATTTATTTATGGATGTGTGTATTTGAGGACAGTGCTGTGCTCCGCATTTCTTCTTATTTTACTGTTTTTAGTTAAATTCTTGCAAACCATGGATGCAATCCTATTCAATTTCTTTCCATCTCATAATCCAGCTGAAAGCTAGGCAAAACATACCTGCAGCAGAAAGCCAATGTAGATGTTAACAGAAAGGGAAGCAGCATGAGAGGATGCAGAACTTCAGGGGAAAGGTAGTGGATCACTGAGAGACCTCACTCCCTGCACTGGGGAAATTTACTGGAATGGATGCAGCCTGACTGAACATTAATATCATAGCCATCCATTAGGGACACATGCTAATTATCTGGGTCATCCCAACCCTCAAACATTTAATCTCTTGTCCACTAAAGAAATACATGCTTACATTCCAGATTCGAATTCCAAGTATAATAGTTAAAGGGAAGACACAGAAGGTCTTTTCAAAATTTTTAAGGTACAAATACATAAATATGCTGATATAGAATCAAACTGATAAGAACAGATATTACACATGATCTTAGCCAAAAGGCCGAGAAATGTTATCATACAAGTATAGTAAGGGCAAAACACAAGACTTGTGTTATATGAGCAGCTATGGAGGCGAAGAGCAGTGAATCATGAAGAAACATCCTAAAGGCAGAAAAATGTTTGGTGCCACTGTTTACAGTTAATATTATCTTCTATGAGTTTGTACAGATAAAGAGATGCTATGAAAATTAAATAGAGAGCTTCTGCTTCTTCACATTTTGGCATTTCACATTCTTTCTGCTGAATGCATTAAGGAATCTGCCCAAAGGCCTGTGTGCTGGCTGAAGCACAAAAGCCACCTTGGAAAATTTCAGAGGTTTCTGAAAAAAAAAACAGGTTATGTAACAGAAAGCCCATCTATGATCATCCTTTTCCCTTCTGAGATTGCTGAACCATTGCCTTACTACCAGACTCTCCTAGGATCAGTGTACCTCTCCTCTGGTCCAAGTAGTCATAGAAAGTAGGAAACAGGAAGATTAAACAGAAAGAGAAGATCAGAAGAGAAAGGACTAACTGTCAGATTAACTGGAACACAGCTGTTTAAGGCTTCAGTATTTCCATCCTTATACGTATTGTTTCCTTCTCGCAGATTTGGTTCATCCGTTTCTTCACTGTCTCTGTTATCCCAGCTTTTCCCTCCCTCTCCCTTGCTCTTTACCTGCCATTTTTCCTTTGTATTGTCCCTCCCAATTCCTTGTCCTCTTTTAAAGACCAGAAGTATGTGCAACGTAGACATGTTTTTTTCTCTGTCTCTTTTGGTCATACAGCTATGCACAGACAGAAAAATCTATACAGTTCAGAAGGCAAATCAAAGACACTTATTACTCTTGCATTTAGAGCAGAGTATGGTGGTGCTTGTGATTATTTTCATAGCTTACCAGAGTTTGGGACCTGAGAGCTCTACTCTCTGTGCAAATATGTTTTATCTTAGTGTAAATGATCCACTGCACCAGAGCAGTGAAGTTGTTCAGTTGCTTCCTTATCCCAGACTTGTAGGTATTTTAGGCTATTGAAGGCCAGTAGGAATGTAAGACCAGACCTAGAAATAGATCTGATATGCTGCAAGAAGGTAATGTAACCATGTACAGGTGTAATGTCCTTGTAGTAGCCATTCAGAAGGATACTCAGGGCTCTGTACTGGTAGTGCATCAAGCCTAGAAAAGAGAGAATTTTTTTCAGTTATATTGCATTGCTATTTTCTAAATGGCCCTCTCATTGCCTGACTGGATAGATGGACTCTTTTAGCTAACCTGAGATAGAAGAAAGTATCACTAAATCTACTAGAGGAGTGTTTAGCATTATGAAAGAAGTCTGAATTATGAACCAATTTATGAGGTGCCCACCTCACTGATGGTGGTGGGGAATCCCATCATTCCCTGTTAGACAGGTTCCTGGAAGGACTCATATTCCTTTTCTGCTCTTAGCTGTCACATCTCAGATGAAAAATGGAAAAACATAGAAATATGTCAATAATCAATTACACATGGCTGTTATATGAGGAAGTAACTTCATTAACACCGGGCACCATGTGAATGCGTCTTGTGATTTTTTTGATCAGTGATTGTTCCCTCTGGTATGTAACACTACTAAACTAATATGAAAGGATACTAGCAGATCACAGAGAATCACAGAATCACAGAATCACCCGGGTTGGAAGGGACCTCAAGGATCATGTAGTTCCAACCCCCCTGCCTAGAAGGGCCACCAAACACACACATTCAGATCAGGACACACACATTCAGATCAGGAGATCAGAAAAGAACAATTTGTCTTGGGTACTGACAAAAGTGACAGTGTCACTGGACATAACACTGAGGTTTTAAAAAAATCTTAGCAACGTGCCAGAGCAATGGGATGAATAAATGAGACATGACTCTTGAATCATACAAAATGAATAACAAACCAGTATTTTTGCTTTTGTAATACTTGAATCTCTGTTTTGAAGCAAATTTAGATGACAATCAGGTTACAAGGATGCTGATATTGTTTATAATGTAGTGTCACCTCAAAAAGTCTTCAAAAGGTCACTCAAAATATTACATATTCAGAGATAAAATTTTCCACATACTTTTAATTTTAGCTCTTTGTGTATACATATCATAATACAGACTAAAGCTACATTCTGAAATATATTTCTTCCACACAATTCAGTCCTGGTCAATGATTGAAAAGCCATTACAATGCACTTTTTATCTTGGTCCTTCAAGTTTATGTCTCTCATGATTTTGGGCTGAGATGGAGTTGATTTTCTTTGCAAAGGCTTTTAAGGTGTTTTTTATTTTGCATTTTCATGAAAACATTGGTGATATCACACTGATGTTTCAATTGTTGTATAGCAGTACTTATACAGAAGCATATAATGGTGTTTCAGCTCCTCTTGCTGCCTTGCCAGCAAGGATATGGAGTGGCAGAAAGTGCTGTGAGGACACTCAGTGAGGACCCAGAGTGACTCAAAGGGATGTTCTGTAGCATATGATATTGTGGTCAGCAATAAAAGTTGGGGGAAATATGGAGGAAGGGGTGACATTCAGAGTGATGGCATTTGTCTTTCCAAAAAAACATTGAATATGTTGAGCCCCACTTTCCTGGAAGTGGCTGAGCATCTTCCTGCCAATGGGAAATAGTGGGTTAATTCCTTGTGTTGCTTTGCTTGCTCACACAGCTTTTATTTTATTTAGCAAATTTTTATCTCAACACATAAGTTCTTGCACTCTAACTCAGTGAAAAATGCAAACAGTGTGCCTTAAACACATTTCTTTTTGGGATTCAGGCAGATTATTCTGATCTGTAATGCTGTAACACTTCCCTCTAGTCAGCACTCACAGCACCAGGCCCTTCTTTCTCTCTATACAAGGCAAAATCCATTTCTCACTTTCCAAGATCCTAACTTTAAGGACTTAGACATATAATAAGTCATCCCTCTTGAAGAAAAAGCATGAGAATCTAGGTGAATTATGGAGAATCACAGAGATATTATAAGACCTCAAACATGGAGGATCCAATCTGCAACTTGTCTGGGAGTGAGGATAAGTGAATGGGACTGTTCCATTCTGAGTCCTTCAAAAGCCTGCTCTGTGCTTCATTGTCCTCGCAGGGAATTAGGCCATTTGCTATCGAAAAGCATTTTGATAAGATTCCTGCAGTATCTGCAGGATCATATGTGGGTATTTACTAGGGAAAGATGCAAAGTGGAGCAATTCATAGCGGTGAAATTCTTCCACATCTTGTATAAATAAGAGAAACAAATTCAAGTCACTTTATAGAAGGATCTTCTACTCCAGCACCTAAAGATTTCTGCTTGTGTGCTTCAACCTAGCTGTAGATGTTCCTGTTCATTACGGGGTGGTTAGACTAGCTGACTTTTAAAGGTCCCTTCCAACTCTACCAATTCTATGATACTATAATTCTATGATACTATAATTTTCAGTATGAAAGGTCAGAAAAATCTGTTGGATTGAGTCAACATTATAACATGAAAAAGAATTGCAAATGCATTTAAACATTTCCAGGCCACTTTATTGGTCTGGTGATGGGAACAAGTGAGATACAGACCATGTGCAAACACACTTTAATGTGTATTGTATATGTAAGACTTTAATGTAATTAGCTACATTAATCTCAGAATTATATGTATGTATGTATTATATGTATTTTATTTTTTGTATTTGCAAACCTCAATGACTTTTTGCAAGCACTGCGCCCCATAATATTTAAGATACTCTTGCTTAGGACAAAATAGAATTAATAAAATCAAATCAAAGTATCTATACGGGAGAACGAAGTCTGCAGCAAATATCAGTATTTTTCCTTTTAAAATGTTTACTGCATCTAGACAGAGTAAGCTAGCTAGTGATCAGCATTGCAGGAACTAGTATTTTGACAACACTGTGTCATCCTGCCTAAAAAAAAATACTATTAATACTATAAGCATCCCCTTAGTGATGCTCTTTCAGAAATGGATTAAATAGTCAATCAAGTTCAATGGTTTTCTTTGTTATGGAATTGTATACGGCATATCTGCCAAAAGTCATTGCTACACATTCAAAAGCATTTTATTACTTCCCTGTTAGGTCTTGAGGACAGACTAGTGTTCAGCTGGTTTTATCTAGTCCATCTTTCTATTTATATTATATTAGTATCTAGAACTCCTATCGCAGTTAGTTTTTATCATCTGAAAACATGGAATGAAAGCAATTGGAATTCTTTTTGTACTCATTATTTTTAAAGTTTTCATGTTGATTTTTGTTAGGCAAGAATGGTTTGAATAAATTCAGGACTACATCTTCGCCTGGTTGAAACAAGTGTCTAAAATTGACTAAAAATGTTTTGATGGCACAACAGTGCAGCTTAATCGTAAATGCAAGTGAACAAAGTCCTTACTTTGCTTTATCATTAGCAGAGTCATCATTTGTTGAAAATCTAGATCTAAAAGCATATTGCACAAGCTTCCTGAAATTGCAGTCATCACTTCAGAAAGCGATATCCTACAACTTGGCCACTCTACCTATTGCTATTCAGGACAGCGATGTTATAAATAGCCTTTTTACCTGCTCTAAAATTGTTTGCAACAAAGTTTATTTAGTAAGAAGTTAGCAGCATTTTACTATTCCCTTCCATACTATACAGTCATTTTCATGATCATATTCAGAACACATAACATGGTAACCATTTTATCAAGACACCCGCAAGCAAGTCCAATCTTTATATCTGTACATCTTGGGGAGGAGGGGATTTTTATTAAGATGGTTGAGTGGGAAATACTTTTTTGATTCTTAAGGAGGTGTATGATATCTCTTTGATGTGAAGGGATTTAATACAAATAAAATGTCAGGAACAACTGCAATTTAGGTGCCTAAATTCCATACTGGTATACTGGTCCACCACCAAGCATTCTCCATCTCCACTCTGTTCTATACCTGTAAATGCATTTGCAATTTGTGCTCATATTAAAACATCTTATGTGCCTACATTTTATCACTAGACATAGACATAAAAAGGTTACCTGATACTGCA